AAGAGAAGCGAAAGAAGAAGAGACATTGTAAAGTTTCTTGTCTAAACTGCTCTGTGAAGGAGTGGTAGCAAGGGATGCCCACTGCTTTTCCACCGTAGACCTGAAGACTAGTGGGCATGGAATCTGCGGTTCCTCCTTGACCTTTTCCGCAAACAGAGGGTTAGCTTCCCGGTTGGATGAGGAAGAAGGAGTCTCCTCCTGGGCTGAGGTAAGTTTTACCATGTCAATAGCCCTTACGAGGAGTGACCGAAAAATGGCCGGATCGAAAAGCCCGGAAGAGGTCACCTGTTCAGGAGCTGGATCCCCCTCCTCAGACAAGGGAGTGTCTGCAACTCCCAGTTCCACTGATCCCTCCTCCCCTAATTGTGAGGATGTCTCCGAAACAGCAGAGCTAGGTCTAGTATCACGCTCCACCAGAGGTGGGGGAATAGATGCGGGAGGAGTAGGATGGGACTGCACCTGGCTACTCTCAGTTGATGACATAAACTGCCTGAATGCTTGGTGCATGAAGGCCTGGAATTGAGCCTGGGACCACATTTCCCCTTGGTCCCTGGAACTGACCCCAACCTCCGTTGAGGCACACCTGGTCTCAGGTGGTTGGTGTGCTGATGAAGGAGAGGAGCGAGGAGGACCTACCTGCTCGGTTTCCCCCCGAGGAGACCAAGGTCTTGGGGCATCCTGAGATGATTCAAATTGAGGTTCTGTCAAAGGAGTATCCAGTGGGGCGGGGGAAACCGTTTCAGTCCCACTGGATCTGAGCCTTTGTGCCTTGGAGAATTCTCTCTCCAATGCTAAGTGTCTCCTTGTGGCCTCTCGCCCGGCTGATTTGGAAGTATCTTTGGAAGACAGATGTTTGGTTTTAGCTTTTTTCTTCCCCCCCCCCCATGTCCAATTCTTCAGATCTGCGCTTTGCTTGAGCGGGGGGGACACTAGATTGAGAAGCCTGGGGCGAGGATCTGTCTGCCATTGCTGTCTAGGTATTCCTGGACAGTAGTACCTAGAAATGGGGGGAGGAACCCAACACGCAGATCACAGTCAGAGATGGAAAACCGATCCTCGCTCTGAACAGAAGTCAATGGCAAGAACAGCCAGACAGTGTTCTAATGCTGTCTGTACAGGCCTTGTGACAAAAAGTCACGGGCTAAACTGAGAAACAGGTGGACAATAAAAGAATCTCTTCGCTCTTCTCTTCTAGGCCTTAGGACCAGTTAATAACACCTTGGTCTGCTCAAATGCAGCCAAGGCCCACACCTGGAGTAGCCCCCTCAAGTTTGACCACAACTCCTGTGGATACAAAAATATCTTCCCCCCTGAACAGGTCTGCTCACAGACCAAGTGACACAGGCAACAACTATGCGTCCGCAATAATGCAGGAATAACTGCCAATGATTATGCAAAAATTTCAATTAGGCCTCCAAAATGGCGTCCGCCACGTGGGACCTCTAGAAGCAGCCGCGCTAGACCATGCGGTCAAAATGGCGGCCGCCAGGCCTTAAGGCCTGGAGAAGCAAAACCCTGTCGTATTTTAAACAGGAGAATCAATTACACAGCAGGGGAATACAAGGCTGATTTGGGATTCCTCCCCCAGTCCCCAAGCACTTGCGATTAGTAGCGCAGCCCCTGCTGCGATCCAGATAAAGCTGCAGTCAGGAATTCTCCCTCAAGGCCTCGAGGCAAGTAAATCACTCAGGAGGTCTCCCAGTTGAAAAGCCGACCTCCGCTACCCAGCTGAATTGGCGGAATCGCAAAGAGGCTACAGATCGTCGGAACGGGAGCTCCCTAACGAACGAAGCCTGCAGCCTCCTTTTCAAAGCCCAAAGGGCTGCAGGGGAGGGAGGACAGAGTCCCTATCCCCCCCAACGCAATCCTCTTAATTTGGAAGTGAAGCCGAATTAATCTAATTGTTAATCAATTTGAATTTAAAGTATCCAATTTTAATTTGAATAGCCTAAAAGAAAAAAGGAAAGAATCAAACTTAGCTAGGAGCCTTCTGAAAAGCGTCTTGCTGAGCACGAGACTAAGACAAAAACTGGGAAGTCACACCCAGAAGGAGGCGTGGCAGAGTTTTTTTGTCTTAGTCTGAGCAGGTGGGATTAAATTACCCAATCAGTGGAGTCTACATCCATCCTGATGGAGAAAAGAATGGTTTCTGTTGTTTATTTTACTTCCTCTATTTCAAGATCTGGAGAAAGTGTCATTCTGATAGATGCTATATTTTGCTCTTTGAGTATTTGTACTTGCAAAATATTTGCCATATACTTTGTTACCTCCACTAGTAAATCATGAAGTGGAAGACACTACAGCATTCTTGTGTGTGGCAATGGGCAAACTGATACTATAATGTGATTTTTCTATTATAATGTGTGTATTCTCCTTTATATATAGCTCGTATAAGTTATCAGCATATTATAGGCCGTATCTAGTATGTGTTGTAGGATTTTTTTTTTCAAATAATGCTTTTAAACACTTGCATTATAGTTACATCTAATTTTTATCATATTTGCATAAAATGCCAAAATGTCTAAAGAATCTTACAATTAGAGTATGATTAGTCACAACTTGTATAATTTTTGGAAGGAGTGTGTTATTAATGTATGTGTTATTAATATGCCTCCAAAGAACTCAAGACATTTTTTACATAGTAATAACTTCTAATTACCATCTATTTTAGTTCTATCTGTTACAGTGTTCAACTTTCTGTTGGGTATTTAGGTTTTCAAAAATTGAAAACAGTCATTATTATCTCTTTGTTTTAGAAAGTCTTATTGTAGCCTGAAACTCTTGTTGTAGCCTGAAATGTTTGGCACAGAACAAATTACAGTGAAACTTCGGTACTCACTGTAATTGGTTCCAGGAGGCGCAATGAGTACCAAATAAAATTTTCCCATAAGGGATAATGCTGATATCGACACATCTAGCTTGTGTGGTAAGTATCAAACAAGCAATCATTACTGGGACAAAATGCTCGCATCAAAATGTGTTGAGTACAAAATTTGATGAGTTTCAAAGCAGATACCACTGTAATTCTATGAAACAATTGGATAATTTAGGAAGCAATAATGCCATGTCCTGAATTTTTCTTTCTCTATTTTGGAAATTCTTCTCCAGATGATACTGAATATTAATTTCTATAATTCCTGGGTATATGCCATCAATGTAAAAGAAAAGGAATGCATAGCTGAAGAGTCACAAATTCTGCATCCCATACTTCAGTCTTTCTGATACTCACTGGTATTAAAAAATGGCTAACAAAACTAATCCCTGCAGTTTTCTTAGCAAGATATATAGTTTGTCATTGCCTTCTTCCTAGAGCTGAGACAGAATGATTGGCTCAAACTCATCCAGCTGGTTTCATGCCTAAAGCAGGACTAGAAGCCATAGTCTCCTGGTTTTTGACTTGGTGCCTTAACCACTACATCAAACTGGCTCTCAAAATAAAAATATAAAATGCCTTTTGAGAGTTAAGTATATACTAATTTGAACAGCTAGTACAAAATTAGGTGATTGGATCAACTATATACATGTTCACATAAAATCAGAACCAAGTTGTGTACAAAATACCTATTTACTGGACAAATACTTACCTAACAGAAAATTTTGACATTCCCAACATAATACATATTGGGCATTTTTTTTTACATTAAAGCACTTTAATAGCTATGTAAACACAGCTTAGAGAATTGGCAACTGTACTTCGCTTTCCATGATATGCTTAATGCTTAAAATTTAGAAAACATAGTTGTTTTACTTACACAATAGACCAGGCATGTCAAACTTGCAACGTCACGTGACGTCGTGCGACGTATCGCGACTTTTTCCCCATTGCCGGCAATAGGAGGCAGTTTCGTTGTGACGCATCCAGCCCATGGGCCAGCAGTTTGACATGCCTGCAATAGACTATGTAACACTAAACTAACTTCTTTTTTTAGCAGTCCCCTAGCTCGTATCCTCGCATCTTCTTTTTTTAGCAGTCCCCTAGCTCGCATCCTCGCATCTTCTTTTTTTAGCAGTCCCCTAGCTCGCATCCTCGCATCTATCTATCTATCTATCTATCTATCTATCTATCTATCTATCTATCTATCTATCTATCTATCTCAGAATTAGTCTGAAAGGGACAATTTACAAGTCTAACTATACAGAAATCAAAGTATCCCCTACAGCTGGTCCAGGCTTTACTCGAACACTCCCACAACAGAGGAGCTTTTTATTTCTTAGGATGTTTTTCTATAATTTAAATACATTATTTCATATCCTATGCTCAGAAACAATGGAAATTAGATCTCGATAATCTTGTGTGTATTATCTTTCTAGTATCTGAAGAATGCTATTACTTTTCCCTTAAGTCTCCTTTTCTCAAAGCTAAACAATTCTTATCCTGTGGGTCTGAAGTTTCTGGTCTCTTGATCATCCTTTTTTTTTTTTTTTCCTGAATCTGTTTCAGTTGTTTGACTCCTTAATATAGCATGCCCTGGTTTAATTCTTACGATTTTCTGTAATATAACTTAACAAAATCATTGCCAGCATGTTAGCTCAACACTTTTTCCCCAGTTGTTCTTCTAAAACCATCTGGGAGCATGACCTAGCAAAAGTTATTTGTACTCTGTGTGGATTCTTCTAAAGGGAAAATATATTTTCCATTACAGCTGGAGTGTGGGGGAAAAATGGGTAGCTGAGAAAAATAAGTTATATGAAGGCTAAACAATGAAACTCAATTAAACAGAACCACAAAATCCCTCCATTCAGTATAAGATATTTACCCATTTTCCCCATTGAGAATGACTGATACAAGCAGTCTTCCAGGTTTTCAGTCACTGGGTATACGTAAATTTACCATTTAGTAAAACTGGCTCAAAAGATCTGCAGATCTTGGCTTTGAGTTTATCATTAACATAATAATTTATCTTTAATGCAAATATTTAAGTATGGGCATTGAATTTTTAAGTATATAAAACTGTTAGCAGATCTGTAGCACTGATATTTTAAAAAGCTTTAATGCTTACATTGGCACAATTGTTTTGGAAATCTGTTCATCATCATCTTCACTAGAACTGCTACAAGTTGCTTCAGAATCCAAACTTCCTTCCACTTGAGACAGCAGTTCTGCTGTAGAACAAGCAAACAGCTTGATTTCATCAGATGCAGTACCCAAATTAGACCATGTGTCTTTACTCCTATTAGCTTCTAGGCTGTTTTCAACTTTAACCGTAGTACATTTTTCATAGTTTCCATCCAAAGGATTGTTTGTATCATGAAAAGCTTTCACTCTCTGCAGCTGATGTTTCACAAAGCATTTCATCTGCTGGTCACAATGTTTGACAATATGCTTTGCCAACAAAATTTGCAAGTGTTTCTGACTTCTTTTGGCCTGGTTTAACAAAGCCTGTTGCTTGTTTACACACTGAAGTAAGCGAAAATTTAATTCCTGTTCTTTGCTGCCAGGATTGCAATTTACTGTTACTTCTGGGGCATCATGGAACATCTGATGGAACAGGTCTCCTTTTTTTGTATCAGGATTAACAAATAAAGCCTTGCCACAAAAGCCATTTCTCCGATACCACTTACAGTTTGGAAACTGCTTTTCTTCTGTGTTCTTCAATTCACTTAAGTGTAAATCCAGTAATTTCTCTGTTTCCAGAAAGCTTTTCTTTGTTCCTGATAAAACATCCCTTCTCATCTGTTCTCCAGATTCTGAATTAATACTCTGATTGAAATGTGTATTAGTGCTGTTACATACAGGATTTCTCAACTTGGAGCAATTATGCTCTTCTAAGTTCTTCTGGATACAATTACTGTTTACACTGAATGTTAAATTAGGACTCATTAATAAAGAACAATGTTTAGACGACTGGGGATCAAAGTATTTTAAATTAAAGCAATCAATATTGTGGTTGACTTGAGAAGCAGGAAACCCCAAAATAGAACAAGAAAAACTTGTAGTAGAACCATCATTTATCTTCTCTTTTACTGGTCTAGTACTTTCCATTGCTAGTGTTTCACTAGACTCCATCTCTCTTGAAGGTAAAGAAGATATATAGACACTATGACTTTTCATTGCTTTCTCTTGGACAGCAGGTGTCATAGCTGTTGTAAATTGCTTACAGCAAACCTGTAATAAAAGGAAACAATGAATAAGACTGTCAAATAAAACTGGTGGAAGTAAGTCCATAACCAAACAAAAAACAAAAAAAAAACCTCAAGATGAATAACATCAGATAGAAGTTCAACAAATCCAGCTTTTGCCAACTTGGGCACCCTCTATATTTTGGGACTTCCATAATTATCAGCAATAGCCATGTCGATTAACTAATTCTGGGAAATTAAAGGCTCATTTCCAGAGAGTATTTTGTAGGAGCAAGCCTAACAAATGTTTCTTCCATTACATATTCTGATATTCACTTTTCTATTGATTTCCTTCTGATATACTAATAAGGACTAGAGTTGCACACATTTGCACACTGAATTATATATTATCCAAAATCGAATGCCGTTGACCATGAACAGTCAAAATTATTTAATCTTAATACTTTGCAATCCTAAACACACTTAATGACATGAATGTATTCCAAAGTAAACTTGAATATAATTGCACTGTAACTATAATATTAAACTTATTTAACTGAAATAACTTTTCTTAGTAAATTTGGATGAGATTACAAAATAATCTATAATATTCTGTGACATTCTACAAAATGTTTTAAGATAATGATGCTGCTAACACAAAACATATTTGTAAATTGTAAGCATATATTTTAAAAGGATAAACCAAAAAGATGGCAACAACATTTCATGTAGTCACTTTGACTGTATTAAGAACTCTAATTTTGTGTGTGTTTACAAAATACCAGCTTGTGGCAAAGAATACAAAGAAAGGGGAGAAAGGAAACCATTGGCATTCCCTATCCCCATGAAAACTTATTATAAGACTAGTCACTTTTTCACTAGAACTCTTCAAAATACATTGATTTCAGTGAGACAATCTTAGAATTTTAAAAACTATAAGATATCTTATTTAGAAGACTACTTCAGCTTACAATATTTTTAAAGCTCCACTTTCATAATCAGAATGGTACTGATTATAATATTGTTGGCATACCTTGGTAAGGTGGTAACACCTAGCTCAGTGGTGGCGAACCTATGGTATGGGTGCCAGAGGTGGCACTTGGAGCCCTCTTTGTGGGCACACGTGCGTTGCCCCAGCCTTGCCTCCCCCTGCGAACTCTTCTCCAGCAGCCCCCTTGAAGGAGAGTCGCCCTTGAACGTGGCCCACACGGAGCAGCACAGCCAAGGACATGGCAGCCAGGCAGTGTAGACAAGACTCTCTCCTCACACCCCATTATGCAGTTGAAGCTGCAAGACACGGGGAGAGGGTGTGACCACCATAGTGCTGCTGGGCTGCCTGGGTGATCTGCGGCAGGCCCTGGAGGCGGTGAGTGGTCCTGTGGGCAGGCGGGGCGGGGGGGGGGGGCAGAACGGGGGTGGAGCAGGGAGGTGGAGCAGAGGCAGGGCCAGTTTTTGGGCACTTGGTCTCTAAAAGGTTCGCCATCACTGACCTAGCTGATTTACCTTGAAAGCTAATTATGATAAATTATGGTCATTATTTGGATGATATACTGATCAGGAAATTAAAAGAAACATTTGAGAAAAATCAAGTTTATTTAAGAGCATTTTAATATTTTTACTCTTTGCATAGTCTTGGTTATTATGACAGGGAGACGAAACAACGAAAGATGTAAAATAGGATTCTCTGTCAATGGATGAGAAAAACACTGCCTAAAGCTTGGAAATTTGACGTATCTTTCATGCAGTATCATTGTGATGCTTAGCAGTCTGTCAGTTTGCAAATATGTCTACAGACATATTTCTAACCAATTAAAAAGAATACAGGCATACCTGAGTGGAAATTTCAGTCATACTGGCATATAATAACCTTTTTGCAACAATCCAAGCATGATATATCTAAAATTCTTCATTAATAAATTCCAAATTCCATAGCAACAAAGGGAGATAGTAGTTCCAACACTCAGCACCAATGGCTCAAAACAAGCAGGGCAACCTGGTGCATACTTTTGACACACATGCAAAATGACAGATGGACATGCATAAAAGTGTCCTTCAGATTTAACAAACATTAAACCCTCTTCTTGTAAAATATAAATTTTAAGCTTTCATATTCATAAACCTGGGGTACCTGCAGAAGTGTACATATTGGTGAAGTTTAGCATTTTTATCTAAAGATGACTAGTCTATTAGAGCATATATACTCAACAAATATATATATATATATATATATTTCTGTAAGTTATACATTTACACCTTGCCCACTTTTATGAAATCGCTAGTTTTATTCATAAAAGAGGTCTCACAAATTCATTATTTTAGATATCACAAACTTTGAGTAGTCCCATGGGAAATCATTAATTTAACATCAAATTATTGCTTATGTGTTCTTATAACAATAAGGAACAGTTAGCTAACGTTGTGATTCTCAAACTGTGTGTTCACATGGGATATTTTAAATTGTTGAGGGAAACTCATCAATACTAGACATCTCTTCCACACATAGAAGGGAGCTGACATCCTTTGGAAGGCTGCTCATTCAGCCAGCCACTAGAGCAGGGGTGTCAAACTGCCAGTCTGCGAGCCGGATGCGTCATGCCAAAACCGTGCCACCCCGTTGCAGGCAATGGAAAAAAAGTCACAATATGTCATGGCACGTCACGTGACGTTGCAAGTTTGACACCCCTGCACTAGAGACAAAAGGGAGCTGAAATTTAAAAAAAAAGGAATTTCAGCTTTTGAGAGGAGACAGTAAAGGATGCCTCAGATGGGTGGGAAGGCCCAATGCAAGCCATGCACAAGTGTCTTTTCACTCAGGAATTGAAAATCCTGCTTGGGTTTTGACAGAGAGGACTTTCAACTCCTGAATGGAGAGACAATGTAGTAAGAAGTGTGTGATGCCTCAAGGGGTGGGAGAGCCCCTGGGATGTCCAGCGCAGGCAGCACATGACCGTCTTTCCCTTAAGGACTGAAAATCCTGCTTGGATTTTGGCAGAAAGGATTTTTAGCTCCTGAATGGAACTTTCCAGGGACTCCCCCTTCTGAGAGGCACCCACATTCCTTACCTGGGATCCTGCCTGCTTAATAACCTGCATGATTGCTTAATGACTGCAACCAGAAGTGTCAGGATTGCCATCACTAAGTGAAGTAGTCACGTGACATCTAGCATAATTACTGTTTTGCTCAATAATCACGATTCTAGTCCCAATTGTGGTTGTTAAGCGAGGACTACCTGTATCATGAACTTGGATCACAGCCAGCATCTGTTTTTAAGTTTTCTTTGGTTCTTTCTCCACCATTCAAACTATCCTTCTATTCAATCTGGAGTCAATTTTTCTCTTGCGCCCACATCCAGGGAGGTTACCTAGGATCCTGTGGACTTTAAACTTCTTGATATTAGCAAGCTTGGTCACAGATACATGAAGGTCTTTAGGGAACATTTTATAGCCTTTACCTTTACCATACTCGGCTATTACCTTCTTCCTTTCCTCCTCAGGCAACTCTTTGTTTTTCTTTCTCTTGTCCATGTTCACTATGCTGCACACAATGATACAAAATGCTCAAGTGAGCACATCACAAAACTAAGTTATAATCTCTGCCATTACCAGTATCTATTTGGTGTCAATGATCTAAAAGATCTATTGAAATGGGATTAACTTGCTTTCAATTAACTGGGTCACAAGAAAATTAATAAGAAACCTGTACTTTGAAAGACTAATAAAAATAATTTTAACAAAGTGGATGGTACATATTTTTTTTTTAATTTTCAGGGATCAGAAGTTTCACTCAAATAATTTTTTTTAAATGTAGGTAACTATTAGTTCAAGGTTTTTCAAATCATATTTTGTGAAACCCTACTATTCTTTCCTGTGCATCTTTGGTCAGGAGTGAAAATCTGTTTGGATTTCTCTCCCTTTTGTCTCTAGTGGCTGGCTGAAAAAGCAGCCTCCTGAAGGATGTCAGCTTCCTTTCATGGACCCAAACTAGATTTCAGAGCCTAAAAAAGTTTGACAATCCCTGCACTACCTGACACACAATTTTTGAATATGTTGAATCATAAATTACAATACCTCAATCAAGACCAAAGTCTGATGAGATTATGATTCATTCTTGCAAGAATATTCAGATGGTATCACAAACAACAAACAATATGGTGGCCATTATAAACTTATCTGATTATTTCAACATTTATGAAAATAATATCAATATTACAATTTATTACTATTCTATCTTAGTTGGATTTAACTGTTAATTAATATATTCCAGAATAGGGATGTAAGCATCCCCCTATGTCTGTCACCTTTACCTTCAAAATAATTTTTATTTTTTAGAAGACAAAACTGAGATACAAAGTAGAAACATATATAGGTAGTCCACAACTTACAACTATTCATTTAGTAACCATTCAAAGTTACAATGGCACTGAAAAAAGTGACTTATGACCAGTTTTGACACTTATGACCATTGTAGTATCCCCATGGTAATGTGATCAAAATTTGGATGCTTGGCAATTGGCATGTATGTATGACAGTTGCACTGTCCCAGGGTCATTTGATCACCATTTGTGATCATCTTTCCAGCCAGCTTCCAACAAGGAAGGTCAATGAGGGAAGCATCCATATTCATTTAATGACTGCAAGATTCCTTTAAAGACTGTAATGATTCACTTAACAATTGTGGGAAAAAAGTTCGTTAAATGGGGCAAAACTCACTTAACTATTGCCTTGCTTAGCAATGGAAATTTTGAGCTCAATTGTGGTCATATGTCAAGGACTATCCATAAATCAAATACAATTAGTTTACAGTTATAACTGTTATATTATTTTAACATATATTGGCAAACACCACCTGATATGTTAAAGGCAGGTTGAAGACAAACATTTGTCAGATTAAGCTATGAAATTTCTACTTAAGGATGTTGGGTAGTAAGTTGATAAGATATCTATTTTAACCCTTGGAGGAATGCTGACATTCAGCACATATACATAAATAAAAATACTAGTTCAAGACAACATTATCGCATTGGATAATTAACAAGTCCCATATTTTAAGGTAAATTCAAGTCACATATCCAGTAAGTTACCTACTGAAATAGAATAACACATAGGCAAATCAATTCATTCAACAAATAATCACATTTTAGTACATAATATATGCTATTATTATTTTCACTGTATTTGCTAAATTTCCATAAACTGTATGGAAATTCAATTTTCCAGAATAATAGAATTTCCTTTTTGGGGGAAGAATATAAAAGCTGAAATTTGAACCTAAGAGATATTGTGTTATTAGCAATATGACTCTAACAAATTAAAAAAATCCAGTTGAACACTGATTTACTCCAGGAAAATTAATATTTTTTTTCTTCTTACACATTTTTAGATTTATTGTCTTTTTCAGAATATTTGTCACTTTTAATCTTACTTGGCTAAGTTTGTTTTCAGATACACACTTAGAGAACAATGTCAGTCAATATTTCATGTCAATATACTGAAAATACACATAAACACAAAACATATTTTTCTCATCCTAGGAATTTTCAAATTCTTCAGAAAAATTATATACCGAAATCATTCTATCCTTTCCCATGGTAAAATAAACAGTAAACAGGGAGAGAGGAAGAGAAGAAAGGGAGGGAGGAAGAGAGAAATAGGAAGGGAGGGAGAGAAGGAGGAAAGCGAATAAAGAAGAAAGGAGAAAAGACAGACATTTCTGACACTGGCTGCCAGTTTCAATGGTGAAGCTGGCAGGAAGTCCAAAAGTACCCCCCCCAGCTCGCAATGCTTTTTCTTTTTGCCCACTTATAGTCATTCTGTTTCTGTTTATGCAAGAAAATATCTCTGAAATAATAACCAAAGTCATGGGTTATCTAGTTTAAATTAAATGTGAATTGTCATTTTTAGAATATTCACAGGCTACATGTACATATCTATCCATGCCCCAGATATGCAACAGCAATCTCTTTTTTTCTGCTTTGTCTTCATCTCCCAGTCTATGCCTAAAGAAGCCTTAAAACATCCTTAAAAGTAGCCCCCCCCCACCTTGACATTAGTTTGGCTCTTATTCTGGCATACTTCATCAATCATTGTTAATGACAAGTCATGTGATATTTTGGGGGTGAGATCAGCACTTGTTAGTCAATAAGGTTGGTTCAGAAATACCCTCTCTTTTGATCCTTGGTGTTATGTTCCAAAACCACTGTTTGAACACTAGGACAGCCTTGTTCTTTCAAACTGGGTTCTCTCCCTATAGCCACAGGGACCCTGAGCCAATCTCCAGTTTGGAAGGCTAGACGGGTCCAAGTAGGAAGCTGGTCAGCAATGGTGACAGAGAGACTACAGTGTGTAAGGAGAGTAGTCTTCTTTTTGCTGTTTCATGGGGCAACTCTTTCTGCACACTAAACCAACAACCAAAAGGAACCTATCAGATGATAGGCTCCCTTTCAACCTAACTCACTGGAACAAATCTAAATTTTTAACAGTTAATCAACCATTTTAGCCATCTTTCAAACCTTACCTCCCTTGCCAACCCCAGCTCAATCTCATATCAAGGAGATGGGATGCAGGATATTTTCCCACGAGTTGGTGATATTTGGTGGAGGGGGACAAAACTGGGAGGAAATTCTTGTCCATAAATGAGGGCAACGTGCATACAAGCAGGGCAGAATATTATACGCAAGTATTTTGTTAGCCGAAAAGCTGGTGGATAGCTCTTTAATTAGGCTGTGTTTAAGAGTCCGCTGAATCTATTTTCAAACAGCAGCAAAACATCCAATTTTATACATCCCCTGTTACTACGGTACTTATGAAGACAGATAACTTCAGTCAAACAGAAATAAGCTTCGGCCGACCATCACCTGAACTTGTTAAGTTCCCTCTTTCCCGTAGCCAAGATCAAGTTGAATCAGGTCTGACCCACCCCCCACACACACACACACCCGCCCTGTAGACTCTTCCAAATTACGAGAATTAACATTGCTTCCCGAACCTGAGGTGCATTCTTGGCAAGCTGTCCCCACATCTCATTCTGCCTCATCGTAAAAAAACGGCCCCCCTCCCTCGCGCTCCCGCATCACGGCTCTTCCTCCGCCCCGCCTCCATCCAACCCCAGGGCGCCAGGCTGCAGCCCTCCTCCTCCTCCCCCATCGGACCTTTCTCCGCCCACATTCCTTGGGCGCCGTCACGCCCTCACCCCCGCCCACACCCCGGCCGGCGTCCACCCCAATCCCGCCTCCCGCCCCCTTACCGCCTCCGTCGTCTCTTCCCTTCGGTGCCGTTAGGGCGCTGCTCAGAACTCTCCGGCTGCCCCGGGGATCGTTTGAGCTTGCCCTCGCGCGTCTCAGCGGAGGGGGGGGGAAGGAGAATGCCGCCGGGAATCAACCGTCTCTTCCCAAATTCCTGAGGCAACCGTGAAAAGCAAGTCTCCGCCTGCACCTCTCCCCAAGCACCGACTTGACTGCCAACTCCGTCTGTTGGCGGGTTGCTTCTCTTCCTCCTGTTGCCTCAGTTTCGCACAGAGTCCAGTTCACTTCCCCAAAACAAAAGCGGCGGCACCGCCTCCCTCGTCCCTCCCATCCCACTTGGCTCGGCTCCGCTCCGCTCAATTCCCGCTCTTCCAAACAGCCGCTCCGCTCCAAGTAAGTTGCCTCAGCAGCAAACGAGCAGGAGCGGGCGGGCGTTTGGGCGGGGCAACCGAGGCCTTCGTTTGGACTCGGCCCCTAAGCCAGCCAATGAAAAGCCAAGGAAGGCGGCCCTATGCAAAGCACACTGCGGTGGGTCTTCAGGATTCTGTCTGGGAACCCAGCCGATCTCTTCTGAGTCAGTTTCGAACTTGAGCCTTCAGTCCCGTCCGGCGCTTCGCCCGACTGCTGGCTTCTCGGTTTGATTATGCGCTGGAGCTGCGCATTCGTGGGTTAGGGTACTGAACGGACATTGTTAAACGCTTAACATCGTAGCCAAATCTATCCCAAGTACGGGGTAGAGATAGCATTGGTCCGTTGCTCTTCCGTTGTTTCAAACTTAAGGACATCCTGAAATGCTACTGACTGAACACTTTTCTGGCTCCTTCAAAAACGCTGGAGGGGTAATAGTGATGAAAACTCCACGACCGACTTTTTTAATCAACAGCTTTGACAGCAATGTGCAGTTCTGGAGCATCTAGATCAGGGGTAGGCAACCTCGGCTCTTTTATGACTCATGGACTTCAACTCCCAGAATTCCCGAGTCTTTCTGGGAGTTGAAGTCCATGAGTCATAAAAGAGCGGAGGTTGCCTACCCCTGACCTAGATTGTAGCACCACCATTTCTAGATAGAATATTCTTGAATATTGAACTTAACCTGTAAAGAACAGAGATAGCATCCCAGCTATTTGATAAAATAGAAAGAGGGGATATGGTAGTTCCCTGCTGATAAAGAAATAATTGCAGAATTGTAGGAATAGTATTAGGAAACACACTAACAAATGATGTCATTGAAAGCACTAGTCCTGGGGCATTTTTAAATCTGAAAAATCCATGATGATATCCATAAAAACGTATGCCACATTAACGTGGTCTTGTAAGTGCTAATGTGAGTGTATGATGCATCTTTCAAAGAGGCATTAAATTCCGCTGCAAAATTTTAGCTATCCTGATATATTTTCAGAAAACAACTCTATTAGGCATGGTTTTTATACAAGCTCCCAACTTGGCAATTTTCTTCAGAGCACAGAGGAAAGCACAAGGGAATGAGCTTAGTTGACGATGCGAAAGTAATGGGCATTTTGGAAGACAGTAATTCTGGAGGTCTTGATTTTGAGGGAATCTAAAACAGTATCATATGCTGTACTTTTAAAAAATGAAACTTAATTAAACTTAAGCAATAAGGCTAGAGACATGTACAGCTCAGTCAATAAAATCAAAATGGTGGTCAAAACTAGGCACCATCCTTTGTTATGTTCATGCTATGTTTGTGATTAAATTGTGATTAAACATTAAATTGCCCAGTTGCGCTTGCTATTTTTTGACTTTGTTGACCATCTCTACAGAAATCCCTAAAAAAACAAAAGTAGATCCCATGACATAGGAACATAATGGGAAAAAAATATATAGATGAGATAAATGATAATTCCTAACAAAGGAGGTTTATAAGTTCAATGAGATGAGAAAGGGACAACAGAAGACACCAATGTGACAATCCAAAACAGCTTAATGAAAATCTTGACATAAAAAGGACTCATACACAAAATAGAAATAATATCAGATTACAAGGGAAGAGAACAGAGAGGTTAAAAAAGGATGCTAAACCTAATCAAAATGGCTTCTTTGGATATTGTATGTTCAGAATAAAAGGAATCTGTATACCAGCTACTCAGTGAAGACAATAAACTGCTAACATGTAATAAAATACAAGATTACTCAACTCCTAATTTTGTCAGTCTTCCCTCCTCCAAAATGTTTATGTTCCAACAGAAAATTATGAACAGGGTAGGATTGACATCCAAGACTGACAGAAGCAGGAAATATTACTTTACTGTTTTTTCAGATTGAAATGAATTGCATTCCAGACTGTCTAAGGCAGCGGTTCTCAACCTGTGGGTCGCAACCCCATTTGGGATCGAACAACCATTTCACGAGGGTCACCAAACAATGCAGTCCGCCATTTTTTTTCCCTTTTTCCTTAGCTGTGCTACTCCCTTTTATTCTATTGGCTTTTGAAAGCCAATAGAATAGACTCTCTTGAATAGAGTCTAATTCTATTGGCTTTCAAAAGCCAATAGGAATTGTCCAGGCTGTCTCTGCCCTGCTGAGCCCGCCAAAAGTCCCATTCTGCAAACGGTGCTGCAAGTTGTCTGCAGTGAAGGCGAGCTGTCTGGAAGCTTCCACCTCTCCCTGCTGAGCAACTACTAAAAATGTAAGTAAAAGAGGGCCAGGGGTGGGAGGTGGGAGGCCGGCGGGCGCAGGGAGGGTTGCTGGCGCGCGTGGAGCCCACCGGGTGCCTTACCTCCCTTGGGCTGGGCCAGCTGGTGGCCCAGCCAGTGGTCACCCTGCGCTGTCGCTGCCCCTTGCCAGCTACGCCTCAGCCAGCGCAGGGGGCGGCACCACGCATGTGCGGCGCTCCCGGGCAGGGAAAGTCCTCGACTTACGATTGATTGGGTAGTCCTCGACTTACGACCGGTTGGGGTTGCGGCATTAGAAAGGTTGAGAACCACTGGTCTAAGGTATGGCTCAGCCCCTAAATATTATCTTTGAGAAATTCTAAACTGAAATACCAAACAATGGAGAACAAATTTTCCTTTCCAATTTCTATTGGGAGGCATGTCACCTGCAAGTGGGAAGTGATGCTGTTTTCAAAATTAGTTGTCCTTGCCATACCTATCATCCATTAGCTTATCTAATCGCCTTTAAAGCCTAATATGTTAGTGGCTTTGGCATGTTTTGTGACAATTAAATATACATACTAATTATAGTTTTTTGGGGTTTCCTCCAATCAGCTTCACTGGATGACCCCTTTTCTTTCAATTTTCAGATAATAAAAACTTCTGCCCACTTTCCTCAAACCATGCACAATTTTATACACTTTATCTGTATAAAATACTGAAGGTTTTTAAGGAGGTTGGACAACCATTTGTCTGAAATGGTATAGGGCAGGGGTGTCAAACAGCCGGCCTGTGGGCAAGATGCATCATAGCAAAACTGCGTCCACCCCATTTCTGGCAATAGAAAAAAAGTCGCGATACGTCGTTGACATGTGACGTTGCGAGTTTGACTCCCCTGGTATGAGCAGGGGGTTGGACTAGAAGACCTCCAAGGTCCCTTCCAACTGTTATTCTGTTGTTTTTATTTTTTTGAAGTAAGATGAGTTTTAGCATCTCATCACAGATACGCTACAGCAGGGCTTTCAACCCGTGGTACGCGTACCACTAGTGGTACGCTGGCACCTGGCAGGTGCACACGTAGGACGGGTTGAACAGCACTGTAAAAGAATGTTTTAAAAAAGTGTAAAAGTGGATGAGGTGAAGCGGCAGCAGCACTGCACAGGTTTGTGAAAAAGTCAGCTACAACTGCACGTTGCCCGTGTCCTACTGAGAGCCCAGGATCAAAGCGTGCAGCTCCAGTGATTGGTGGCAGCCTTGGGGGGATAGCAGGCAGCTACATGCAGTTTTCAGGTTAAGATTCAGCTGGAGCTGCGCGAAGCATCGCCTGGGTCCGTGGTAGCGAACACCTGTTGAAGCCGCGCAGGGTAAGGTTGCCGCCCCCGCCTCCACCCAGATGCCCTCGTCTCACCCAAGCATTTTTTTACTAACCTGCTTTCAGCTGCATTCCGTTTCTCCATTCACTTTTCAGCCTTCGCCGCATGTTTGTGAGACAAAAAAAAAGTTCCATGAGACTTTCTAACTTCTCGCGGATCTCACAAAAAGTTAGAAAGTCTCATGGAACTTTTTTTTTCTTTTTTACCAATAGTCCCACAAACACATGGTGAAGTCTCAGAAGCAGAGAAATGGAATGCAGCTGAAAGCAGGTTGGTAAAAAAATTGCTTGGGGGAAGCAAGGGCATCTGGGCGGGGGGGGCAACTTTACACTGCAACTTTACACTGGGGAGCTGCATGGTGGCGGGAGGGTTAACAGAGGGCGAGGGAGCCCGGGAGGAACTGCGTAAAGCAGGCCGAGGGGAGGCCTGGCAGATTGCGGGTGCCGGCAGCACGGAGGCTGATCACACATGCGAGTGGGAGAGCTGCACAAGGCAGAGATGCTGCCCGGGACCAGAGGGGAGGCCTGGCAGATTGCAGGCACCGGCGCCCTGCCCCCTGGGAGAAGGGTAGCCAGGAAGTCCCTTTCCCGGACTGTCCCTGTCCGAGGCACACATGGCTGGGGAGCTGCATGGGACAGCCCCAGGATCCCCCCTGGGAGCGGCCCGTTGGAGCCACCGTTGAGCAGACCAGCCCTCCCACAAGCCGCGGCCCCGAGGGAGCACAGCCCCTGCGGTCCCCAGCCAGCACTACTGTTGCCCCGCTGGCCGGGAAGGCGTGCCAGAGTCCTGGCTGCCGGAAGGTGATCAGCCCGCTTCTCTCCCATTGCCCACTCTGCCTGGCTCGAGCCTTCCTGGGGCAGCATTGGTACTTCCAAAGGTAGCTGCTTCAAGGTCACATGAGCGGCCCTCAGCCGCTCCCCTCCCCTCTGCGCCTCCAAATCGATCCCAGGGCTGGCTGGCCAGGTGAGCAGAAGATCGGAGAGAGACAGGGAGGGAAAGAGAGGGGGGAGAGGGAGGTGGGAGAGAGAAAAATAGAGAGGGAGGGAGAGGGGGAGGGAGAGAGAAAAGGAGAGAAAGAGGGAGAGAGAAAAAGAAAGGGAGAGGGAGAGAAAAAGAGAGAGGGAGAGAGAGGGGAGGGAGAGAGAGAAAGATAGGGAGAGAGAGAGGGAGAGAGGGAGAGAGAGATATTAAGTTAGTAATATGGTTAAGTGAATTTGGTTTCCCCACTAACTTTGCTTGTCAGAAGGTTGCAAAAGGCAATCACATGACTCTAGAACAATGTGACCATCATAAATATGAATCGGTTGCCAAGCATCTGAATGTAAATCACATGATCCTGGGGATGCTGCAACGGTCAAATGTGTGAAAAATGGTCATAAGTCACTTTTTCAGTGCTGTTGTAACTTTGAACAATCACT